CATTAAGCACAAAAATATAATTACAATCGATTAACTAGTCGAAAACAGGAAGCCTATTCAAGGTAGGTTAAATGCCAAAATATAACACTGACTCATAACTGAAAAAAAACTACCTAAGGCCTACCAAGAGAATGTAATAATAGTGGATTATGTTAGTTAAAATACTTTTAAAAGGGTTATAGCATAGTGTGGCAAATTGCTTTTGGGGCCATACAGGTGAATGTAGTATTCATGAAAGAGGGGCAGGATAGTCATTTTCTCTTCTCATATATATCTATCTTTTTCAGTCTTTAGCATAACCAAGTGCATCAAGAACCTTCAAAGCTCAATATCACATTCTTTTGTTCTCTGTTTACCCACACAATAATTTATAAAAATATGATATGTAATAATAGTTTTCTCTCGGTGGCAGACCTCATTATCCTCAAGTTTAAGATTCTGCTTCTTTTTGTTTTCTGAACTCTGTAACTTTGCTTTTCTTGAAGAAAATAGAGAAAATAAGACAGAGAGAGTTTTTGTCCAGCATGAAATGTTGTCCTCATTCTTGCCTTGCTGAAAACAGATATGTGTACTGATTATTGATAGATAGTAAAATAAAATGAAAATGAGTGGTCGATGAAGGAAATGATTTTGATGAGAGTGTTGTTTTTCAAGAAGAGAGAGTGTCCTTTCAATTTCATGTGTTTCTGCAAGCCCTCAGCTGCTCACGTTTACAATTCAGTCCCTGCAGAATTGGAAAATTCTGTAAATGTGATAGCTGAGGACTCTGAAAAGTCGTCATCTGGGGTTGAAGAGGAAATCTTCAAAGGCGAAGATGCAAATGGGAATTGTGAAGCTGTGGATTTAGATGTATTCAAAAGCTGTATCAGAAAGCCCGATTCGGCCCGGAAAAAAAGAGTGCAATGGAAGGATAAGTTAGGCAAGGAACTTGCTGAGGTCAAGGAGTTTGAATCCAGGTGAGATCACTACATTTTTTATTTTTATTTTTTATTATTTTGAATGTCTTTTTTGTGTGATATCTTTGACTTGAGTTCACCCATGATATGCAGCCATAAAAATAAAAAATGTTTGTTTTTCGTTAACAAGTCCATATCATTCATTGTGCAATATATATATGTTTATATTAATAATCAGTAGAAGAAGATGAAGGCTACTAGTATCTATTGGCAAGAAAGAAAATGGATGATTTAATCCTTCAGATTGAATTAATGCATCGTTAAAAAATAAATTTACTAGTCGAAATTCAAGTAGTGTTCGCCATAGATGGTTTAGTTTAGAGACGAGTTTCTGAATGTCGATTACTTGATCAGCTTGTTTGGCTAATGCTCAACAAGCTATTGGAAAATAGAAAAATAGGAAATAAAAGGAAATTAAACCATGTGTTTATATGTTTATTTTGTACATCATTTAAATCAGCTTCTTGTGTCTCAGCCAAACAGGGGATACCGATAGCGAAGAGGAAATCAGCAGTTGTCTTTGTGTTATTCTATGATTCTCTGCTTCTCAGTTTCTCAACAGCATTGACCATATAATGTGATGAAGATTTTGGATAACTCCACTGTAATCTCACAAAAGATATAGAAATTAATCTACAGCAGAGCAGATCAATAGAACTGAATTTAGTTATCCTGCTTTTCTTTACTTAGCTATTGAGTCAGGAGTGTTGTAGTCTGAGCATGAATGAGTTGCATAACTGTTCCAAATTCAGAAACAGAATATAATATGGACACAATTGAGATGGTATTATCATTTTATATAATTTTTATTTATTTTTTATCTGAGTGGGAGAAGCATATTCAGAAGCATTTATCTTTTACTAAGTTTATGCATTTTCTGTCTATTGATAACCTCTCAACTTTGAACCAACAAAATTCTCTGGGGGGAAAAGAGCTTTAGCTGTTATATAAGAAAGAGTGTGGATTAAAATCAACAGCAATATGGGCATTTGCTTTGGCCTCAATACAGGAGTCAGCTATGTAGTTACAAGAAACAATTTACAAAGTAAAAACAAAACTTCACTGCAAAAAAAAGTAACAAAGCTCTATGACTATTCCACACAGAATCGAACGGTCGATTATTGTCCGTAATGTCGAAATCTTGCTTATTCAGCGAAGCTTTTGTGTTCGTTTTGTAACGGCAAATGAACTCCAGACATTTATTTCTTGTTAAATCCAAATAGAGATTTGATAGTGTTGATCGCGTTCTCGTTGATAAATGATTCGTCGAATCTCTTCACAAGAGGGTCGAATTCTTCCGATTTTCTGATGTTTTCAAGGTCTGGATCTGTTCGGACTCTCTGCACATATAACAATTGGCAGTAGAGGAAAAAAATAGAGTAAGACAATACATATTCTCATAATTTGAGCACAGAAAGAGTTTCGATTTTTCTTATTCTTCTTCTTTCTTTTTTCTTAAAATAATACTACTTTATCAGCTAATAACCTTAAAATCTTCGAATCCGGCTTCCAAAGCATCCTCGAGGGCCGAAAGTCCAGCTTGTATCTGCAAGAAAAATCGTACGAAAAAGGAAATCGGTCAAATGCCTAATAACTGCAACAGTCGACCAATCATGATTGGTGAACTATTAATATTTTTGTAGTTAAAAAAAAAAAAGAAAAAAAAAAAAAAGAAAAAAAAAAAATCTCCACCTGAGCTTTAAGCTAATTAAAAAAAGGATGCAATTACCCTCCAAAATTAGAATAACCCCTTATTACAAACCAGTCCCTTTTGTACTTACACAGTAATGAAACCCATTTTGTTTTAATCAGCATGAATTAAATCTAAGACCATAGAACTTGTCTGAGTACTACAAAGGGCCTGACGAAATGAAAGACTCGTAATTCCAATAATTTTAATGTATAATCACATCAAATCCAGTCAAAACACTGAAGTATTCAGTTACCTGATTGAGCTTTGAATAACAGCAAGCTACATTATAACTCGCTACCGCAGCTTCATTTGGCTCCGGTTTTGATCCCAATACTGACTCAAACTTTTCCAAAGCCTCTTCATATTTTCCACTCCTTTAGTGATAATTTGAGAAAGACAAAAGACCAAATGATTTGCAAGATTTTAATTGCATCGATACAAAATAACGACGGACAAGATGAGCGGCGTACCTGTAGAGCTTCAAACCTTCACGAAGGTCAGTCTCTCTCTGTTCCTTTTGCTCTTTTTTCCTCAAATAATTTTGCATCTGCATCCGTTGAAATTCACCAAAAATAAAAATAAAAAAAATAGAAAAAATGAGGGCAACTATAAAATATGAAAAAATATAAATTGACAAATAACGCGCTTACTTGGATTTCCCTCACTCTGTTGCTAACAACACCAGAGTTTCTTTCGGCTCTAATGATTTCCTTTTCCGACAATTCACCCGTATTATCCACCTTTCCTGATAATTAATGACCCAAATTAAAATAAAAATAAAAATAAGGTACTTCATAAATTTCATTTGAGACCTAAGCAAAGGTTCGGCAACCATGGGTCAGCCACAATTAGCATAATAAATCACCATATCTTTTTTGCATTTTCATGAGCAAAGGGCCGATTCTTTGGCGCATTGTGTACATTGTTCTCCCGTATTCAGCAGCAGGCCATATTTCATCCCCGAAAACTGCACTGCAGTAATTTTAACTGTTTAAATCAGAAAGCAAACTAAGTGCACAAGCATGGCATCATATCCACTTCTCAAAACCCAACCAGCTAAACGCAGATAACTGATCAAATTTTAGTTTATGAATGCAAGCACTCGATACTTGTCATTGTAAGTTTTTCATATTTCTTTTCATTTTCTACTACAATTAAAATGAAAAATCTCTCAACTACAACCACGGAAAAAAAAAAAAAATAGAGAGAAAAGAATAAAAATACCTAGTAGCGAGCACTTTATCCCCGACAGTGAACATGCCGGTGTTATCGGCCGATCCTCCCGGCGCGATTGCATCAATGTAAGTCCCTCCGTCTCTGCCCTTGGCGAACTTAAGCCCGTACGGCTGCACCAATTCCACCTCGTACTCTTCGTACTGTTCCGAATCGGACGACTGAGGCTCCGCTTTGGAGGCTTTGGCGACGAAGACTGGTAGTCCTGCATTGGATCGAGCAATTGGTGCGCAAAGGAAGGGAATTTTGGCATCGGGGAATGTGAGCTTCAGCAGACAGCAAGGGAATGGGATTTGATTGGGCGAGGAGGAGAAAGGCCTGGCTGGGGAAGAGCACAGCGCGGCGTAGCTGGTGGAGGCCATGGGCATGGCGGTGGGAATTGAACTGCGTTAGTGCGTGAAATGTGTGTGTGTGTGTGTGAGAGAGAGAGAGAGAGAGAGAGAAGGCAGAGATATTGAGTGGGGAGACTAGTGGCCGTGGAGGACTCTTTGGTGGAGTTCGATTTTGGTGGTGCCACGTGGCGATTGATGGCACAGAGGTTTACTGTAGTTGAGGATGGTTGGAGCAGTTTTAATTTAGATGAGATAAGGGCGAGCCATTTTTACCGAGTATGATACGATTTTCGCGCCATGTGGGACTCAGGTGCTTTTGGCTAGTTATCGTGAATAAGTTTATATTAGATTGGATTTAATTTAATTTATTCAACAAATTCAATTAGATTTGAAAAAAGTTGTTTGCGTGAAATTTTTAACTTGATTTTGACTTATTTAGGATATGAGTTAAAATGTAATTATTAAAATTGATATTATGTAAAAGTAGTAAGATAGTTAAAAATATAAAAGTAGATAAATTGTGATCATCGGTGGAAATTGTGTAGTAATGATTTGTTCATATTATTTAATTATATATTAATAATATTAAAAAAATAATAATTTATGTTAGATAAAAATTGAATTTAAAATTAAAATCCATATCCAATTATAATTTTGTTAAAAAAAAACAACCAAACCATTCAAAATCAGAATTTTTTGCTCAATCCCATATAGGGTGATTAGACACCAATTTTTCATTAAGAAAACAATTACTTTTAACAAGTAACTTTCGCACAATTGTGCTTTTTTTATTTATATAATCCTCTATCGTTTTNGAGTCACTTTTAAAAGATATTATTTTTGCAAGAAATTTCGAAAATAACATCTTGATGTTCTATGTAAGTAAAGAAAATAAAAAGGGAAGATCTACATTCTATCTATTCTCTCATTTCAGTATTAGATTGCATTCCATTTGTTTTGGCAAGTTTGTATTTATATAGTGTTTCTATAATGATTGTTGTATTTTATAAGAGATCTTAGATTCGAAGGAAAAGGAAGCTGATCGAGGCACAATGGATATGAAGATCTCGGCTTCCATATAAGAAGATCTCCACCCTTGTTGGAAATATAAAAGAATGAAGGAAATTCACTCCAAAAGAAAGGAAATCTTGAAGACTCATTTCCTTGAGGAGTTTGTATATATACTCAATGGAAGGTTGCTGAAATTATCGGAGTTTATCATATATTGAAGACTTCTTTGAGTGTTTGAGAGCTTTGCTTTTCGAGTTTTTATTGTAAACAGTTTTTCAGTGTTCTTACACCACTAAAGAAATATGTTTTGTTTTTCCATTTTTTTACAAACACTTATCATACTTAGGGATTTAGTACTATGATAGGTGAGAGGGATTCTTAGCTAGTTTGAAGTCCACAAGGTTGTGGCCAGAGAATTAGTTAATAGGTTCGGGTATAGCATTGGCTAGACTTAAAGTATTGGAGTATACTGTAGAAGCTCGACTCTACGATTACTCCCAATGTCATTTTGAATGACATGTGTGTCTTTAGTCACGTTGATGTTCGTAGTTTATTTATTTATGCGAATATAGTTCCTTTATTTTACATTGTAGATAATATGGTTCGATGTGTCGAACAGAACGATCATATTATCGGTGCCTTGTAAAATATAAATATTTGTTCACGTACTAGACAAAAATGAACTAACTGTCGTGAAAGGCAATAGTGTGATTTTCGAGATAGTTGATCTTTGACTAATGAATTACACTTGTACATCTCGTGTATTGAACGGATCTACATGAGGATAATTATTTTGTACTGACTAAGTAAATAATCTAGACCTCAGTAATTATTGCGCTCTCTTAACACGTAAGAATAAATAGGCATATGTTTTCAACACTTATTTATTTGATTTACCAAGGGTGATACCTATTCAGTTTGATTGACATACTCAGTATTTTGTTAAATGATGTTGCTTACAAGATGTGCCGTTAAAATTGTTTACAGTCACCATGTCCTGGTTCGCTTGGTTGATGACATCCCAGAAATTAACTCAAGAAGGTGTTTGTCCCATTTTTGTTACATTTTTCGTCCTTATTTTGCTATTTTTCCCCCGTTTTAGGTCGTTTCTTTCGTTTTTAGTTCGTTTCACGTTTTATTATGTGGTTTCCTTCATTTTGAGTTTTTAGGTGTTTTTCGTTTGTTTTTCCGATTCTTTTTTGTGTGTTGTCTTTTTTGGTGTATTGGTCGGGAGCTTCGGGCGAATTTTTTCTTCAGTAAAAATTAGTTTCGAGAGCACAATTGAATAGATGGGATCGTTAACGACGCGTAGAAAAAAACGAAACTCAATTTTGAGTTCGGACGAGCTCAAACGAGGTCGAAACGTGAAGTGGCGCACTGCAGCCCGAGTTGCGACCCGCGACCTCAGCCCCACGCCAGCGCCAGACGCGCGACTGGCGACCCTGATCTCGCGCCTCGGGGTAAAATAGAGCCTGTGCGCCCCAGCTCGCGAGTATCTCGTGCCCCGCGACTGCTGCTCTCGTAACTTGCCCCAGCGTGCTGGCGCGCGCGCCCGGCGCCCAGCGACCCCCGCGCTTGCCAACTCGCAAGTCGCGACCTGTTTTTATTATTGCTCGTTTTTTCTTGTTTTTGCTCTATTTTTCGAGCTCTATATATTGGAATGACCCCCCAGACATAGGGAATAATCCCCAATATTGTTTTTTCACTTTCTCCTACTCTTAAACTTGGATTTTGATCGTTGTTTTTGCTCAACTTTTTCTTTATTTTCTCGGATTAAACTTGTTCATTGGATTCGACTCTTGGTTCTCTATTAATTGTAAGTTTTCCCTTTCAGTTAATCCTTGAATATGAAAGCTTGGGTTCTTGAGATGAATTGTGTTGGATTCTATATGAATAACTAATTTGTTCGCTATGAATATGGGATGATGATGATGTTTAGAATTGAGTTGTGCTTATCATGCTTGTTGATCCTTCAATTTATGCGAGTTGTTCTTAACTAGGGTTTATAATTATCGTGCATTGAATGTTGACTATTGTCGAAGAGTGACACTTCGATTTGCAATTGATTTCCAATTGAATATGATTCGTTCTTGTGTGATGTTTTTTTAAACCTATCGAACTAGTTGATTAACAATCGTCTAGGATAACTTAATCGACTCTTAGAACCAAAAGTGGAAGAGTTGATCAATCTAGACTCGTATGAAATAGGCTTGTTCGAAAACGTATTGTCTATTTGTTGTGTGATTTGCGTGATTTACCGTCTACGATACCCTCTTGTTACGAAGAGTTATTGAGGATTAATCTCTAGACGTTAGGTTGTTCGAATCATTTAACCGAATGATCTTAGCTTGATATTTGCATTGCTTTGAGAATTATCATCCCCGACTCCCTTGCTTCTTTATTGTTTCGTTTATATTCTTAGGTAGATTTATGTACTATATTATTTCTTAGTTGATAATAATTCCAGTCCATATTGGTTAGTATGTTTAAGATTTATTTTCCTTTTATGTGCGATTAACACCATTTCTAGATTCCGAACCGCCTTCCTCGAGAGATCGACCTGGGGAACGAATCTTTTGATTCGATACTCGGTAAAAATAAAAATATTCATGCACAAAATCAGATTTCTCTCATCTTAAATTCGTGTGGAAGAGAGTTCTTATCTTTAGAAAGTTCGGATAGAGAGGTCTTAGGAGAAGAAAATCGAGAGGCTTTAGAAGTTCCAATTAATCGCACCACCAAGATTGATTGGATAGTGTAATTATCGTACAATAGAAGATCCCAAGGTTATGTATTTGTATCCCGTGAATATAAATATATGTGCATCCCGTCGAATATATACAGTCCCGTCAAATAGTCCAGTAGAGATTCTCGATGTCAAACCTCTTCCATCGCTTGCTATTCAGGCTACGATGTACTAAGCTGCATGGTGGAATCCGTCAACGAATTACCGTTCAACATTCCTCCAATCAATTGGCTCAACCTCACATGTAAACACAAATCTTGAGGTAGATTTTACTTATTGTTCACATTTGATTAGAAATTAGAATCCTTTGTAAACACATAGGCTACGTATGGTAAACCAACATATTATCCTTAGTCCTTTTACGACACTTGACCATATGTTTTTACCACGAACTTAGGATTACTTCGATATCTACTAACTATGCCACCGACACTAATAGATATTAGGCCTTATTTACTGCATTTCATAAACTAGGTTTCCTATTGCCAAGCAAAAGGTACTCCATTGTGTCATGCATTCTAAGAAAAGAATGAGCCTTGTGACAGTACTTAGACATGAAGCTCGGGATAATCACAACATTTATTTCTTGTGATCCTTGACCTCAAGGACATGTGTTGATTCTCCCGAAATGCTTTACATCCAACTGCTTGGATAACCATACTTCTGCATCTGACTGCATCTTCACACTGTCTTCAATGATCAAAATATCGTCTACACAAGTACAAAAATACCACCACGCTTCTGTTGCGCTACACACAACGCTCTTTTAGTAAATGATCAAATCCATGAATTGGACTCATCAACCAAGGAACTAGATTTCATTAATTAAATTAGATATATTATTTTACACGCATGTAGTTTTTTACATTATAATCATACAATTAATAACCATAAAATTTTAAATAAATAGAACAATATAATAAAGATTATTCTATTTACTAAAACATATATCGAGTATTTACTAAAATATTAACTAAGTTTGAAGACAAAAATTCAATTTGTAATTTAAGTCGTAGAATAAATTAGGGGTGTTCACGGTCCGGTTTTAACCGAAAAAAACCGTCAATCTGGACCGCGGATCAGTTAAATGGTCAGTTAAAAAAGCCTTAAAAAATCCGGTGGTTAATTTTTTTAAAAATCTGGAATAACCGGTCCGGTTAACGGATTACCTGCGGCAAACTGCCGGTTTAACCGGACCGGACCGGTAGATATTAAAAAACTATAACAAATATATATATACATTCAGTCATTCACTATGGTCGACAAATACAATACATTCACTATGAATGCTTTGCTCTTATTATTTCAGGTGTATAAACTGACTGAAAAATGAATG